TACACTTCTGTTTGTGCATAATTTTATACTTTTATACCCCTCTCAAATCGCTCTCTTTCCAAAGGGACATGGTTACTTTCAGGGGAGGATGGCATTTAAGTAGTCCCTGGACTTAGGGGATGCTCATTGCTACTGCTGTACCAGTCTACTTTTGTAGGTCCCATAGTCAGGTATAAATAGAACCAAATGTATATGGACCTAAATAATATATGTTCACACAACATATGCACATCCATTCACCTGTAACTATTTGTAGACCTAAGTGTATATATGTATTTATGCATGCATGTATTTGCAAAACCATGAGCTTGTGCCAGTTTTTCTAATTTCCTTCCCCTGTCTCGAGGTACATTCCAGCCTATTCCTTTTCTACACTTATAAATATTTTTTTTCAGAGACTGAAAACCTTCACTCTATCATCTTAAATACACTTCTGTGTTCACTCAGTATTCCCAATCTTGTAGTCATCATGATTGTCTCCCGACCTCTTCTCACTCCTCCTCGTCAGATCCACATCCTTAGCTACTGGGCCCACTGACCTTCTCTCAATATTTTTTTTAATCATCCCCGTGTCATTGTCTACCTTTTTGTTTTGTTTTGCTTTTTTGGTTTTTCGAGACAGGGTTTCTCTGTGTAGCTTTGCGCCTTTCCTGGAACTCACTTGGTAGTCCAGGCTGGCCTCGAACTCACAGAGATCCGCCTGGCTCTGCCTCCCGAGTGCTGGGATTAAAGGCGTGCGCCACCACCGCCCGGCTTGTCTACCTTTTTGACTCCTCCACAATGAGAAGTTAAGAGAGACTAGAAGGAAAGCTAAGGGGGAAGGAAGGTGAGTACTGACAATTTAGTGGCTAGAGCTGTGGGCAGACTTAAGCCCAGGCTGAGCATGTAGCTGGAGTGGAGAAGAGTCTCAGACTTCTCAGTTGACAGACGAGAAGAGCACATGGGGTTTCTGAGAGATGAGGCCTACGGCTTCCGAATATATACTGCATTTTTGTTCGCTGTGTATGTGGTCCACTAGAGTATAGATGCCACAAGAGCAAGGGCCTCTCCTTGCCACTGTGACTATTCTTGGTGCCAACTCGAGCACCTGGCACTCGTATACAGAGTACAAAACACATGATGCTCAAATCATTAGTTTGGACCCAGATTTTTGAGGTTAGAAAATGAAGACTGAATTTAATTCTTTTTTGATGAGGAGGGATATCCAAGTCCTTCATGGAAAGATAGGGACACAGTATAGGTTTTAGCAAGATACCTCAGGAGACAATGAAAATGATAGATTCAAAAATAAGAGTTTAGGGCTAGAGAGCTAGCTTAGCAAGTTAAGGCACTTACCAGCAGGCCTGAAGACCTGACTCAATCACTAGGACCTCCATGGTAGAAGGAGAAAACCCACACCTACAGATTGTCCTCTGACCTTGACATGTAGGTGATGGCAAGTACATATACATGTGTATAAATAGGTAAATAAATATAAATTTAAAATTATTAAAATTGAAAGGTTTAGAGATTTATGATGATATTAGGAAAACTCTACATGGTTATCTAAATTTGAAGGTACGCATTTAAAAATGTCATGACTTTTTGTTTTGTGTCATAAAATTGTCTCATATGTTGTGAGAGAACTTGTAAGTTTCTAAAATACATTTTTCTCAGAAAAACAATTCATTATCAATAGTTGCCATCTTTGAAGTACAAAGAATATTTTCCTGAAATTCTGTCATCATTTCTAAGAGTTGCTTTTCTCCTACATTTTTGTAAAGCATTTAAAAATATGTTTAATTTTGATTGTCTGCCTTATTCATTTTCTACAGTGCAGGCGTAATTCCATAGTTAATCTTACATCGTCAGGATACTTTATTGGTGTTTTTCATGAATTCTTTTTCAGAGTTGGCTATAGATTTCATAGGGGCAGAGCCTTAAATATTATTATTTCACTGATCTCCATAAGTTGCTCTTAAGGAGAACATTCAAAACTGGCTGGTCTCAAATGTGCTGTTGTTGTATTTCAGTCCCCAGTGCTGGGATTACAGGTCAGTGCCACCACACTTACGGGTCTTTTCTGGGTCAAGCGCTTGTCAGGGACTGTTTGAAACATTAACCTGCTCAGTCACTAACAGGTTTTCCCCCGTCACTGCTCATGCTCCTTGGTGGACAACATACGGTACCAGGGCCAGAAACAAGTGACTCCATCAAGGCAGCACCCTGCACCTCATTTTCGTTTGTATTGAGTGCCCCATCTCACCTCCAATTCCCACAGAGGTGATGTGAAAGACCCATGGTAAATATCTACATGCAGGGAGTTACACTCAAGGAGAGGTTCCCAGGGATTGTGAGCCACTATTTTTTTAAAGATTAATTTATTAATTTTGTGTATGTGTGTATAGGAGTGTTTTACCTTCACGTATGTAAGTGTACTGTGTGTGTACCTTGTGCCTAGGGAGGTCAGCAGATACAACCAACTCCCCTGGAGCTAAAGTTACTAATGGGTTTTAGTAGCCACATGGGTCCTGGGAACCAAACCAGGGTCCTCAGCAAGACCATCCAGCATTTTTATCTATCAAGCGTCTCTCCAGCCTGGCCACCATTGCTTCCTACTAGGGGCAAGATGTTACCTCATTCTTCAAGGTTGCTCTCTGAAAACATAACTTAGAAGGGGCCTGCAGAAAGACTTCTCCTTTTTGGCATCTCCTAAAAGAGTGTGCAGGGATGAGGAAGACCTGTGCAGGTTTCCAGAACACCGTGTCAGTGAGAAAAAAAACACACAAGCTCCTAAACTGAACTAAACTAAATCTAAAACACAGTTTCTTCTGGGGAAAAAAAAAATCAGAAATCTTAATTAGCATCAGATGCTTCTATCTACCTAGCTACTGCTGAGATAAAGTTTGTCATCATAATATTGATGTGCGTGGACGCACAATTGCAAATTTGGTGAAATTCATTAAAAATCGTTATTTTGAGTATTAAGTTTTAAATTTCAAATTAGCTTTTCATATTTGAATACTGCCATGCATTCATAGTTTTCTTCAAATATGATGAACAAATTGTGATATTTGAAAACCTGACAGTCGGCCATGCATGGTGGTGCATGCCTTTAATCCCCGCACGTGGGGGCCAGAAACGGGTGGATCTTTTTGAGACAGAGGTCACCCCAGTCTACATAGTAAGTTCTAGAACAGCCAGAACTACATAATAGAAAGAGGTTTTCTGAGAGAGAGAGAGAGAGAGAGAGAGAGAGAGAGAGAGAGAGAGAGAGAGGAGAGAACAAAAGAAGGGAAGAAACATGACGTTATCATCACAACTCCCCCTCCGCACAAATACCAACTGTTCCTTGAGAGCTTATTGTGTGTGCATCAAAGCACCACACCAAAGTGATTCTCCGATGAGTACACTCGTCTATCAATGATCCTACAGACACTGCACTGTTGTTACCCATAAGAAGAAACTGGGGCATGCTGCAGAGATTAAGAGGAACTGGCTGCTCTTCCAGAGGACTGGGTTTGATTGCTAGTATCCATGAATAGGCTCACAACTGTAACTCCAGTTCCAAGGGACCAGACATCTTTTTCCAGTTTCTTTCAGAACTAAGTAGGAACACAGTACACAAATACACATGAAGGCAAAACACCCGTACACATAACATTAAAAAAAATACACGAGGAAATTGAGGCAAGGAAAAGTTAACTAATCTCCCTGAAGTCACATGGTTACAGTGCCCATTAGGATGATTCCACTAGGGTTGGCAGAAACTGCCAACCGGAGACATGTATTATGTGATGATCCAGAAAGAGGAGAGGTGTGGCAGGTTTCAGAACTAGCTAGTTCTCTGGCAGAGGCATCTACAGCACAAGAAGAGAGGCAAGGCCACTCTGCCCCTAGCAGGTCTGCCCCTGCTGCTCAGCAGAAGAGTGAGAGAAATGTCTACATCAGAGCCTCTGCTTCTATTGGACTTCCTTGGCTTGTTTGCATGCTTGCATCCATCCTTCTTTCCTTCCTTCCTCCCCCCACCCCTCAGCTGACATTTTGGAAACAAAAGGTTGTGATAAGTTTGATCAAATTGATGGGTCCATGCAGAAAATGAGCTTACTTCTAGCTTTTGAAGATGCTAGTCATTATAGAGCTGTGGAAGGAGTATGCGAAGGCTGGCCCCTGGCCCCAGGTGCTTCAGGGCTAGAGTCTGACAGTCAGTTACAGGACGGTGATTATCTAAAGTAGGGCTCAAGCTTTCTGGCTTTAGAGCCTGTTAGAGTTTCTTCAAAGTGTTGACAATCTCAAAGAGTTTTGGTTTGCATACATTGTATCTATTGATAGTTGTAGTCAAAATTAAAAAGTAGAAATTAAATGCATATGTATAATAACTCCTTTAGCATAGTGATAAAAAAAATCATGTGTCACTATAAATAACAAACTTTAAAGAAAATGTAACCATATTTTTCAGACCCCAATTTTAAGGTGGAAGGTGTCACTCTTTTTGCAAATCTTTTTTATGCCTGGTTTGAAGGCAGGCAGCGGATTCATCGCAGTCACTTCTGTGTTCCAGCAGTCACACAGCCATGGAACACGCCAGTGAACTTTTGTGAGAGAATCCTAGGGAAAATGAAAAATTCCTACTATTACTATGAAAAACTAAGTTTCCTCCTGTAGATTACCCCACAGAGTGTTCTGGAGCCCCAAGGGTTCTCAGATCACACCAGGAGAATCTCCACCTTGATGTGCTTCTGTTAGATATGCCCATGCATAAATTATAAACGTCTCTAGCAATAACACAGGATAAGATACTAAGATAATAGACTTAAGTCTATCAGAAAAGTGGAAAAACACACAGAGATTAGGGTGCCACAGTGTAGGGAGTCTGACAACCAGGCCAAATCCAATTCATGTATGACCAGATATTGCAGAAGTTTCTTTATTGAGTAGTCTCTTGAAGTATTGTAAACATAATTGAATTTACCTCCAAATATTTTTACTAAGGAAATTTAATATCTCTATTCTCTTTCCAGATTTACTATTTCAGAAGATTTAAAGGTTGGCTTTTTCACCTCAGATCATGCTACTCAGACAGATTGCAGTGAAATTTTGCCATTGAAAGATTTGACTCAATCAACAGAAAAGTTAATACAGGTAAATCTGGGTGTAACTTTTAAAATAATTTTGTGTGTTGTTTGTCTTTATAGGGTAATTTTTTTGTTTGGGGAGGGGTTAGTGTACTAGAGATCAAACTCAGTGTTTCATAAATGTAAAAAAAAAAAACACCGCTGAACAACATTCCTACACATGTGGTTTTATACGTCTTTTATTGGCAAAACTTAAGTGATTGAGATTTTCTCAATTGAGATTTTTCTCAAAATATTAAGGTCTTTGGGAAACTGAGCAGAGTGACCACTGATTTCTTTTTAGTTCTTAAAGATTGAATTGTAATTTTGTGTACATGTGTGTTTTGTCTGTGTACCACATGTGTGCCTGGTGCTCCCAGAGGTCAGAAGAAGGGATCAAATGCTCTGGAACTGCAGTTACAGATGGTTGTAAGTTACCATGTGGGTGCTGAGACCTGAACCCAGTCCTCTGCAAGAGCAATAGGTGTTCTTAACCACCGAGCCTATGCCCCAGCCCCCAGCTGTACTTTATAATTTCTATTCTTTTTACATCTGTGAATATTTTTCTGCTTATGATACATTAAGAAAAGTAGAAAGTATTTTACATATAGATACATGAAGACGATGAGATACTAAATAACTTTCTAATGGTATAGCTCAGTCAAATCATATCATTTCCTTTGGATCTTTTGAGATTGAAAAAGAATAGAGTATTTCATAAATAAGATACTGAGTTATTAAGACTACTACATGAATTGAAATACTACTACATATTGTCTCAGGTGCCTCATTTTTATTTTTCACCTATTTGAAAATCATTCCAATATCTATACATAAAAATCTTCCACATAGTTGAATATAGTAATAAATGACTGGAATCCAAGCTAATCAGGAAGCTGAGACAGGAGGATTGCTTGTTTGAGGCCAGCCTGGGCAAATTCATGAAACACTATGTCAAAAATCAAATTCAAATTTTTTTTTAAAAGAAGGGAATAAAAAACAAAACCAAAATCAACTGGGGAGGAAGTGTAGTGACATAGAGTGCTTGTCCAGGTTATGCAAGGTCCTGGGTTCAATACCCAGTGTCTGCTTTATTCCACAGCTATGGCACAAGATGTACATCATATATTTGCTATTCCTGTATTGATAGACATTTTGGTAGTTTTTAATCTTTCTCTGTGATGAATAATCCTGCATGGACTCAAGTGCCAGTAAATCTGTGGCGTAAATTCTTAAAAGGGAATTTGTGAGTCAGAGGGTATGTACATGAGTCACTTTGAAGGGCATTGCCAAGTTGCCCTGCTGAAAGCCTGTACCAATTTACATTGCTAAGAGCTTTTGAAGATGTCGCCTTGCCACATGCTTGTCAATTTATTGTCTTCTTTTAGAATGACATTTTCCGGCAGTATCTTTATAACGTTCTTCCTCAGTAGCTAGGTGTGCCCAAACTGAGTTTTAGTCAGGAGGATTTAGATGGCAGTGGTGTGGGAGCTTTGGGAACCTTCTTTGAGACACAGTTCGCAAGCACCGGCTTGCCTCCTCTTGCCTCCTTTTCTACTTCCTCCTTCCCACACCCCTTCCTGTCTTCTGCCCCAGGATTTTATCTAATCCTAATCACATCCCCAAGTTCTCACCTGTAAAGAGCATAGTCACACTAGCGTTTCATTTTCTTAATGTTTCATGATGGAGATTAAATTCCAACATAAGTTTGGGAAGGAACAGGCCATACTCAAACCATACCACTCCACTCACATATCTTAGTTTTGAAATCAGACATCATTTTGAAAACCTGGACACAGTGAGAAAGAATTATTGGACTTCTCTAATAAACCATATCTGAGAGATAATCTTCAAAGGTAAGCCAAACGCCAGGTCAAATGCCCTGCACCAAGGAATGTGCTGGAATATTGGTACCCCGGACCCTATTCTCTACAGTGATGAACAATTTTTATTTTGTAGATGATTACATCACTTCAGGTGGATTTTGGATTCCTCAAAGATTTGGTTCAGCTGAAGTTCGAGGACCGACTTAAAGAGGAGTCTTGGAAAATCGTCAGTGTGCTTAATGACAGGATTTTAGAAATGAAAAAATATTATCGACAGGTGGGTGCCCTCTCGTTTGCTCTGCCGTGTGAACTGATCCTGTGTCGGATGTGAATGGGTTTGAATACAGTCACTTATCAGGGCAACTGCAGTTTTGTAAGACATGCCTCAGGGGCTAAGACTGTCAGGAACTTGGGTGAACACTTCATGTGTGACCTCAGTAATCCTCACACTTACCTTCTACAGTTGGTATGATTATTAGTTATAGGGAAACAGGTTAATTTGCTCACAATGACCAGTCAGGCAGCAGAACTTTAGATTCTCTGCCAGATGCTTGCTCTTGAACATTTTTTTAAAACAGTACTTTGTTTAGTTTTCAATCATTTCATGCATATATACAATGTATTTAATCATATCTATCCCAACTCCTTCATCCAACTCCCCCAGACCTTCTCCCAACACATACCCAGCCACCCTACTTTCATGTCTTTTTTTAATAAGCCACTCAGTTCACCTAGTGCAACCTGCATGAACATGTGCAGCATATCAGAGGCCATAGAGCCAAAGAAAAATGGCTTCCTTCCCCCAGCACCCACCAATTATCAATAGCTCCTTAGCTAGGGGTGAAACCTCATGAACCCCTCCCATTCCACATTGGAATTTTTGACTGGCTTGAAATAACACGGGTCTTGTTTAGGTAACCATGGCTACCACAGATCCATGACATGGTGGCCACGTCTCAACCAGAAGAAAGCATCTCACAGCAGCCCTTCTTCATTCTCCAGTGCTTACACTCTTTCAGCTCCCTCTTCTGCAGGTTCTCTGAGCTTTCTAGGGAGGGGGTAATATGGATATCTTATTTAGGGCTGAACATTTACTCATTATCATCACTTCAACCACTTGTGAGTCTCCGCACTGACTGCTGCCACTAAGAAAAGAAACCTCTGACCAAGGCTGAGAGCATTACTAATTTGGGCTATACAAATAAATATTTAGAAGGCCTTATTTGTTAGGCCATTGGGGCTTTTTAAAAATGTCTAACAGTAGTAGTAGGTTACCCACTTCTAGGGCCTATGACCTCCTGAACCATGTGGTTTTTTTATACTCAAAATTTATTTTATTATTTTGTGTATATGGGTGTTTACCTATGGGTATGTCTGCTCCCTGAGTGTAGCGTCTGATGTCTATACAGGAGAGGGTGTTGGATCCACTGGAACTGGAGTTACAGAGATATTGTGAGCATCTTTGTGGGTTTGGGGAATCAAACCTTGATCCTCTGGAAAAGCAACCAGTACCCTTAAGCACTGAGCCATCTCTTCAGCCACAAGCCGTTGGCTTTTGATCAGGATTATGGTACCTGGCATGAATTCTCTCCTGTGGAACAGGCTTCAAATGCAATAAGAAAACAATTGATTACCCACATAGCAGTCGTGTTGTGATTACAGCCAGGGTCACATCTTGCCTGGAAGGTCAGTGTTACACCTGCAGGGTCTACCACTGGGTAAGTCCACTGATGACTTGGGTCCCCCAGTGGCCTGCACAGTATGAAAGGTAACCTGCAGGGAACAAGATTCCAAGTCGGTTCCAGCTTTCTATTTCTCTATGCACTAAATCAAAATGCTTTGTGTTTCCAGGAATGAGGTCCTATCATCCAGTTAAAATGGGCAAGTTGGAGTAATGGCAGTAGCATTTATTGTTCTGGAGGCCTCTGGAGCCTCACTGACCAATAGGTGAGAGGATGGTGTCCCACATCTGGCATTGAGATTTTCACTTAATAATTGTCTGCTGATGCAGGGTACCTTCATTCAAACTTCTCCATTAAGCACACACAGCACACACACACACACACACACACACACACACACACACACACACACACTGGGCGGGAGAGGGGAAGACAAAAGAGAGAGAGAAATGGATTTTCATAAGGTTTCTTCATACATCTTTATGTTTGGTTAAGCTACTTCCCAATATTCCTGCCTGACCATCCCCACCTCCATTCCCCTGCTCAAGCCTTTAACCCCCAGAATTCCCTACTCTACTTTTTTATATATACCTATTTATATTATACCCTATTTTTATAATATAATCTTTCAAACCCTCACATATACCCCTCCCTACTCTACTTCAAATTCATAGCCTCTTTTTTCATTAATTGTCATTGCGTGCATATGAGTGTGTGTTTATGTATGTATGTATGTATGTATGTATTCCTAAAAATAACCTGCTTAGTTCATATAATGTTACTTGTATGTATTTTTCAGGACTGACCATTTGACACAGGACAGCCAGTTGGTGTGCCCTTCCCTGGGAAGGACCACCTTCTCCCACAATCAGCTTTCCTGGGCTGCCTATAGTCTTGTGTAGGGTTGAGGTCTCATAGGCTTTTCCTCCATCCAATTTTGCATGTCCATTGGTATCAACCTTGTCCAGCTTACATTTGGGCAGTCATGTTGGTGAACCTGTCCTATATTTATGTCACATGTGTTCTGCATTCTCTCCCCAACTTAAGTTCTCTTCCCTTCTTCCCTACCATGGGTCTTCTCTAGGTTCTTAACTACTACAGACACTACAAGTTGAAGACACACACAAAAAAAATATTCTAAGCTGAGCTAAGATCTACATATGAGAGAGAACTTGTTATTTATTTTGGGGGGGGCCTGAGTGACTTCACTTAGTATATTTTCCAGTTTCATCCACTTTCCTGTAAATTTCATTTTTTTTCACAGCTGAATAAAATTCCATTGTGTAGGTGTAGCATATTTTCATTATCATTCATCAGTTGAGAGACATTTAGGCTGATTCCATTTCTTAACTATTGTTAGTAGAACAAGGATGAACACAGATGAACAAGGATCACTGTGAGAGGATATGGAGCCCTGTGGGTATGTACCCAGGAGTGGTATAGCTCGGTTACATGGCAGTTCTATTTTTAGCTTTGTGAGAAACCTCCACACTACCTTACAAAGTGTCTGTACCAATTTATACTCCCACTATCAGTAGTTAAGGGTTCCTAAGGGTTTTTTGTTTGTTTGTTTTGCAAATTCTAGATCCCAATTGTGGGTTGGATGTACAGCCAGCAAAGATTTTCTTCTGCTCTGTAGGCTGCCTCTTCGCTCAATTGACAGTTTTCTTTGCTCTCCGCAAGTTTTTGGTTTTATGCAATCCCATTTGTCAATTATTGGTCATATTTTTTCCAAGACTGAAGTTCTGTCCACTCAGAAAGTCCTTACCTGTGCCTGTATCTTGGCATGCATGCTACTCTTTCCTCTGGCACTTTCAGAGTGCCCAGTCTTCTGTTGAGGTCCTTGATGCATTTGGAGCTGATTTTTATGCAGGGTGAGAGACAATGGAGGGTCTAGCTTCAATCTCCCATGTGTTGATGTCCAGTGTTCCCAAAAGCATTTGTTGAAGATCCTGCCCTTTCTCCAATGTGTATTTTTAGTGCTTTCATCAAAAGCCAGGCAGCTATAATTGCATAAAGTTATATCTCAGTTTTCTATCCAGTCTACTGATACACAAATCTGTTTTTGTCCATTACTATGCTGTTTGAATTACTGTGCCTCTGTAGAGTAAATTGAAACCAGACAGAGTAATACCTCCAATTGTACTCTTTCTGTTCAGGATTGCTTTGGTTACCCAGGGGTTTTTCTGCTTCCATATGAATATTAAGATGGTTTTTTGTATGACTGTGAAGAACAACACTGGAACTTTGGTTGGGATTGCAGTGATTGAATGTGCTTTCCTTTGGACAGCCATTTTTTTAATGCACTTTTTTATTATTACGAGATTTTCTATTCATTTTACATACCAACCACAGATTCCCCTCTCTTCCCTCCTCCCACCCCCCCCCAGCCTCCCCCCTAGCCCACCCCCCATTTCCACCTCCTCCAAGGCAAGGCCTCCCATGGGGAGTCAGTAGAGCCTGGTATATTCAGTAAAGGCAGGTCCAAGCCCCTCCTTCCTGCACCAAGGCTGCACAAAGTGTCCCACGATAGGCCTGGGCTCCAAAAAGCCAGCTCATGCACCAGGGATGGGTCCCAATCCCACTGCCTGGGGGCTCCCTAAACAGTTCAAGCTCAACAAATGTCAGACAGCCATTTTTGTCTTGTTGATTCTTCTGACCCACGAGCATGAGAGCATTTTCATCTTCTGTCTTCCTCAATTTCCCTCTTCAGGGCTTGTAAGTTTTCAATGTAGAAGCAACTTCCTAAGTTAGGGTTATTCCAAGATGGGTCCTTTCTTTCTTTTCTTCTTTCTTTCTTTCCTTCTTTCTTTCTTTCTTTCTTTCTTTCTTTCTTTCTTTCTTTCTTTCTTTCTTTTTCTTTTCTCTCTCTCTCTCCCTTCCTTCCTTTCTTTCTTTCTTTTTCTTTGTTTTGAGGCTGTGACTGGAATTACTTCTCTGATTTCTTCTCAGTATTTTTCTCATTAGAATATAGGAAGGCTACTCATTTTTGTATGATGATTCTAGGAGTTTTCTGGTGAAATCTTTAGTGTCCCTTAGGTATAGAACCATATCATCTGCAAATAAGGATATTTCAACTTACTTTTCTTTTCTGTTTGTACCCTTTCTACAAATTTATTATTATTATTATTATTATTATTATTATTACTATATGTGTATATACATCTGTGTGAATGTATGTGCACATGTGAGGGTGGGTACCTACAGAAGCCAGAAAATGGTGTTATAGTCCTTAGAACTGGAGTTACAGCAAAGCCCCTGATATGGGTGCTGCAATCTGAACTTTGATGCTCATAACTGAGCAACAAGTGCTCTTAACCACTAAGTCGTATCTCCAGCCCTTCTATCTCTTTTAATTGCTTCTCTTGTCTTATTGCTATAGATAGACTTCTAGTACTAATTAAATAAGAATGGGGAAAATAGGCACCCTGGTCTTGTTCCTGATTTCACTGAAAACGCTTTGAGTTTTTCACCATTTAAAATATTTTGATTATATTAAGTAGATCTGTTTAAGTTGTTTGGCTCATCTTGGTTTAATTTTGGTTACCTTCACCTAGAAATCCATCCATTGCTGTTAGATTTTCAAATTTATTGAAATACAAGTTTTTAAGATAATAATTAATGATTTTCTGAATTTCATTGTTATCTGTTGCAATGGCTCCATTTTAACCTCCAATTTTGTTAAATTGGGTTTTCTCTCTCTTTCTTTTGGCTAGTTTGTGTGTATGTAGTGGGATAGACATGCAAGCACCTTGATACCCATGTGGGGGTCAGAGGTCCTCTCCTTCCACTGTGTGGGTTCAGGGAATCAAACTCGGGTCATCAGGTTTGGTAGAGGGTCCCTTTATCCAGTGAGCCATCTTGCCTGCCCTCTTTGATTAGTTTGGCTAAGGGTTTGTTGATGGCAGTTTTCTTTTCAAAGAACCAACTCTTTGTTTCATGGATTCTTTGTTTTGGATTTGCTGTTGTTTGTGTCATTAATGTCTGCCTTGATATTTATGATTTATCTCCATCTGCTGACTTTTTCTAGGGCCTCTGGGTGTTTTAGGCCAGCCTGATCTACACAGTGAGACTCCACCTAAAATAAAATATAAAAGATGGGTATTACTTCTGTGATATAAAAGAAGACTCATATTTTAGTGACCACGTCATAGTAAATGCTTTGCTAAGCGTTTTGAATGCATTTATGTAATCTCCAAGTCTCTCCAAATCTCCAAATGGAAATCCTGTTGGTCTTGATATACAGATTTCAGAAACTAAGCTTGCCAAGTTTAATACCTTATATCAGCTCAAACCATAGTGGGGCACAGTATTTAAATTCAGTCCTTTCTGACTCTTATACCTATTTGTTGTTTGTACACCATGCTAGAATCAGAATGAATATGAGAACCAAGAGTATTTTTAAAAATAGTGTTCATTTTTACCCTAAGCAGATATAATCAAATTTATTTAAATAACAAAAGTATTATGGCCTATAGATCAACAAAGCTAACCTTTTTATGAGCCTATCCCATCAAAAAGCAGAAAGACTAAGGTATGGAAAGATGGGTCAGTGGTTGAGAGTACTTGAGTGTTCTTTTAAGAGGACTAGGATTTGAGTCCCAGAACCCACATGGCAGTTCACAACCATCTGTAATAGGATCTGACTCCCTCTTCTAGTTTCCCTGGGCTCCAGGCACACAAGTGGTATACAGATATAGATGCAGGAAAAACACCCATACACACACACACATACACACACACATACACACACACACACATACACACACACACACACACACACACACACACACACATACACACACACACACAGTTAAAATTAAAGAACAAAAGAAGTGTACAGACTATAAGAACATGTGAATATAAATAGATCTTACTCTTTTTCTAAGCAGTTCTAGGAATAGTCTCTAAGACTTTAGTTGATGTGTACAATGAAACATTGTCAAGTTATATGTATTTTATCCACAGCATTTTTGTATTGCTCTTGGGTAATCACAAATAAAAATTAAACATGCTACAATAGCTTTGGTAGAGAAGAAATGATGATCCATTGAAATTCTCAAGATGGTGACTGCCTTGAGACAAGGCATCACTGCTATGCCCTCTCCCCGAGGAGGTACGAACTGTATTCAGACGTGCAGTGGTGCTTACTACATTTATTTTTGGTTTGCAGGCTGAAGATGTCCTGAGAAAAAGCTATCAACAGCAGCTGAGTGATGCCATAGCTGTTGTCAAAGGAATGTACAAGGTGGGTTCTGGGTGCCATCAAGGACAAGCTTTGATGCTTGCATGGACAAGGAGTGGAGCTCACTTTGAGTTCCCAGTCTGCACTTTTAGTTTTGAAGGTATGTTTCCTCAAATTTCAAGTCATCTCAGAGAATTGAGGTTTAGACTATTCACACTCACATTAAGTGTACCAAAATAATACTATATGATGACAGACAATACTATCTAGAAACTGGAAAGTGACACTCATTTCCTCAGCAAGTACCAAATCATCCAAAGTTCTGTGGTGAAGATGCAGCTGGATAGAAAAAAGTCAGACAGTCCTAACACTAGAGTTCAAAAGACACGTCATAAATACACAGTAATCTCCCTAATGCGAGGATGTTGCTGTGTGCTCAATATGGTACTTCATTCTCTCACACAGTGGGAAAATGCATACTTTCGAAGATGATTTTTAGACTTAGTAAGCAGCTTATGCCTCCCTTTGTATTTACAGCTACAATCTCATCTTTTATCTCCATATACTTCAATAAATAATTATTTATATTTATGTCTGATTGGCAAAATGATTACTGCATGGCATTTGGCATGTCTGTATTTAACTATGTAACTGCATGTTCTGTGCTAAAAGATAAGGATAGTGCCTTTCTCATTGGTGTGGCCCTTCTCTTAGCTCTATGCATGACTCATCATTGACCATCAGTTAGTAATTGTGAGTGGATACTTCCCAGAGCCTGTTGTGGATGTTGGTGTTGCTTGCTTCTCACCCATTCTCATCAGTGTTTCCAACTTTATAGACTTTCCTTTTTCCAGGCCTGTGCACTGGAAGTCAGGCCTGGCCAATGGGAGGTGCTGTAAGGCCTAGGAGAAAGGATTGGTGCTGATTGAAGAAGCATGCCTTAGTTTGCTTTCTGTTGTGGTGATAAACACCAGAATCAAAGCAACCTGGGAGGAAAGGGTTTATTCAGTCTTACAGCTTACAGTCCATCATCAAGGAGGTCAGGACAGGAACTCAAGGCAGGAGGCTGGAGGCAGGAGCTGAAGCAGAGATCATAGAAGAATGCTGATTACTATTTTGCTCTCCATGGTGTGCTCAGCTTGCTTTCTTATACAATCCAGTAACACTCAGTGGTCTTTGTCGGGAGCAATTGTCATGAGCTATTGTGGGCCATGAGGCAAGTACAGCTCGTAGCAATTGATGATTCAGATGTCAACCCACCAGAGGAATGGGACCTCCGGTCAGCAAGGCTTATGGATCACTGACTCTGAAAACTGTTGCCCTCATCTGTAATTTCTCTTGTGCAATAACAGCTGTGATATCTCCCCATTTACCATGCATTTTCATGTAATGTGTGCATGTAATCTCAAGATTACATCTCAGTCTTATGGACACACATATTTGTGGACGGTCAGGGAGATGACTTCTCATTTAACTGTATAATTTTGATGAATAGAAACATACTAAAATATGCTTCATAACTAGATCTATTGTTCCATGTGGACTGTAGACACTTAGAGGTCTTGTTCTCCATCCTTGGCTTAGTGACGGGGCAAAATGGCCAAAGAAAGTGTCCTTGGGATAGATTACAGGCAGAACTTTGACATGTTTTATTCATGCACAAAATTGCAGATGTTTGGCCTTATTGGATCAAAGCCTTTCAAAAGATTTATGGCAAACTAGAGTGATATTGCAGGTGTCTGGCCTTGTTATATCATAGTCCTTCAAGAGATCCATAGCACCTACATTGCCCTAAGCTTCCTTCACCGGCCCTGCCTCATTAATACCTCCCTGCTCTGATTCAAAAAGCAGTTAACACTTTGTATTTATTTCTACACCAATTTTTAATGCAAGATTTAGGCTCAGTAGACTATGTTTAGGTCCCGAGATTCAGGTGATTAACAGAAAAAGGCTATTAACTGATTAACCATGTCTGGATATTATTAATCACACTTAAGAAATGTTACATAGTGCACGTATTCTTTGCCTCTTCCTTAGATCTCTCATTGGTTTGGTTTTTCCCTTGTAACCCTTGTAGCTATCCCTTTAAGAGATAAGCCAGAACTTTTTACAACTGCAGCCATGACCAGACATCAATTAAGCTGATCAAGCTTTTGCCAAGCATGACTCTTATTGTATCTACAAAGAATGCTTAACCCTGAGAGTTTGCCTTGTGTTTTTTTTAATTACTAACAAGTTGCTAATTAATGGATTTATATGCTTGGGAATTTGTAACAGGTGAAAGAAATCAGAAGAAAATAAGATGAATAAAGAGCACATAGAATGAAGAGCATTTGCCTGTGGGTGTGAAGTTATTATAAAAATCTTTCATTTCCCCCAGTCCTGAGAAACATTTCTCTTATGGAACTCTGGGTAGGGGCTGGGAGCAGGACTCTCATACCCTACAGGTCTTGTCTCTCTCATATCAATCATCAATTAGGTCAGTCTGATGGAAGCATTTTCTTTTCAGTTGAGATAGCCTCTTCCCAGATGACTCTAGCTTGTGTTAAGTTGGAAAACATCTGCACAGAATCCTGTCACCCTGTTCTTTTTAACATTCATCTGTTTGTCTGTCTGCTGTTTATGTGTGGCAGTCATAGGGCAACTTTTTGGAGATGGTTCTCTCCTTCCGCCTTCATGTGAGTTCTAAAAATCAAAATCAGGGCATCCAAATTCGGGGGCAAGAACCTTTACCTGCAGAGCCATGTTGCCAGCCTCTCCATCTTAATTTTGAGGCAGGGCCTCTCCTAATCCTGGACCTCACTGTCTCATCTAGACTGGATCGGCAGTGAGCTCCTAGGATCTGCAGGTCTCCACTCTCCCAAGGGCTGGGGGTATTACAGACATGCAGTCATACGCAGCTTTCCTGAGCATGCTGAGGGTCCAAACACAGGTCTCCATGCTTCTGTAGTCCTTAATCCATCTTCCCTGGCCCATGTCCTCCTTTTTTTTTTTTTGTTTAATATTACTATGTCACTTTCTGATGGGTAGAATGGTTACAGCAACCAGAGGACTGAGATTTATTATAAGTGCTGAAGGGGTAAGGCAGAAAGACAGAAGTTCCCCAGTGATGCTACTGAGCAATTGATGTAACTTGCCCTTTTGCTTGAGATAATCACCCTCAGTCTTTAAGCCACTGCTAGTTGGCTGTTCAGTTACTTGCAGGTAAAAACATCACGAGACCACCTACTCTGTAAACAGTCTTTGTGCCTCTGTGCCAAGTGGTGTTTCTAGATGAGGTCATGCTGCTATATCCCACTCACCTGCTCTTCTGCAACATGACCTTGCTTCCCTCCTGACCAGAGGCAGGGCCTGGTTCCCCTCCCTGTAGTCAGAGGTGGCCTTAGTGCCTTGATATACGAGAGGAAGAGAAAGTGCAGGACTTCTGAGGCAAGGCCGGAAGAGAAAGTTACCTTCAGACTCTCAGAAGGTGGGCTCTCTGCACTGTTCCTCCTGAGCTCAGCTGGCATGGTGAAAGAAGCCCAACCCTCGTAGAGAGTCTGGCTGTGGGTACTGGGTCATCGGAGCCAGCTTTTTAGTCATCTGAACTCCAGCATCACATGTGTGGTTAGAGAAGCTTCCGGATGATATCAGCTACCAGCAGTTAGAATTCTTCCGTGTGAGGTTATGGATCTGTGTGGCCCCTGCGACAAAACAACTCTGCCATTGCTGCCCCAATTCCCTACTCCAGAATGTCAACCAGCATCCAGAATGATAAACAGCTTGTGTTTTATGTTGCTACCTTTGGGAAGGTGTGTTATGCATTAGCTGGAAAATAGGATAGGATCCTGCTCACGGCAACATGCAATTTCTTGATTATATTTTTCAGAAAGATTGCTTTTTCTGATGGTTTTTTACTTGCATGGATTAGTTAAAAGTCAGCATAATGTATGTTTTAGAGCAAGTGCTACAAAGACAAACAGCCTAGGTTCAAATCTTGTCTTTGCCACTTCATTACTATGTGACTTAAGGTAAAATATGTAATCTCTCTGCTTTGGTTTTCTCTGCTGTGACATGAGGATAATAATAGTCCATACCATACAGACAGATGTGCTCCAAGAGTAAGACAGATTTGTCTTTACAAAGCATTTAGAATGGTACCTAGATCACAGCAGGTAAACTCTAAGTGTTAAATCGATAGCTGTACATACTCATGGGCCTCCTGTCTTAGTGTTGCTGTGCTTTTCTGTTTCTCATGATCCTATGATAGCATAGAGGCTCACGGTCTTCTGCCTACTGACTGAGAATAAATAAAATGTCCTTAAAGCCTCAGTAACTACTATTCATGTTTGTTATGTTGAATCATATGAGATTCCACTTTGGGAGTTAAAAAGTCAAGAAACTCTTTTACATGGTACCTAGCTTAAATAATTATAGTTATTTTAATAAATCTAAAGCAAAGCAATAAATAACATGAGAAATGTATCTTTAACCAAAAAAAAAAGCTTGGCATACAATATCTTCAAAAGAATGCTCTATGGTATGATATGCTGGATACTGACATTATGGAGATGGGGTAGGGGTAAGCAGAGAGAGAGAGAGATCATAAATAAATCACAAAATATAAGCAGGACTATGCAGAGATAAGCATATATGGTAGTATTTATGGGAATGCAGTAATGAACAGTTATTTCTGCTAGTGAACTTTGTGAAGACATCACTGAAGAGGTAATACTTGTGCTGGTATGAAATGCTCAGAGCAGGTGGGCAAAAAATCTAGCGGGAGTCTAGGCAGACTGTTATATTAGCATATATTGGAATTTTTTTTGTTGGCAAGTGATAGAAATCTAACTTACTTAGTACTAACCTCTTCCTCAAGCCGGTCCAGAACCATACGCAACCCAGGACATAATGTAAAGGAAAGGCCAACCCAGAAGAAGGGGTGCTGGTTAAGTGAAAGTGGTTGAGCAAAATGGCTCCCCACACAATGGCATGTGAAAGAGAAGGCGGGACCTGATCAGAGACCTGTCCACGGTCACTGTCACTCAATGTGGCCTTGGCCCAGATGGTAGCTGCTGGTCACC